GCTCTTTAATTTTTAGAGACCCAGACTTTGTCTTCGAGTAATTTGTTCTTGAATCAGCCTAATTATCTTCAATCTAGCCGTTGAAAATCAAGAGATTGATTTTTCCTTGCCACGGGTAGAATTTCTCCATTCAGGACTTGGATGATTTTCTAAGCCTTTTCTCACTTGTCCGCTTTCTGAGAATTCCGGTCTTTGGTGAGTCTTCCGATTCTTAGCTGACAAATCCGGATGAGTCTTTTTCAGACTTCCGGGTGAGAAGGAGATCCGCGCTAGTCTTCCGATTTGAATGACTTAGCCTTCAGCGGGTTGTAGCGAGACATCCGGTTCTTATGTAGTCTTCCAGATCTGAGGATTTTTATCTGATTGAGAAATCCTCACTTGTCTCTGACACTTCCGATTAAGATATCCAATTTTCATATCACTGAATTTGATCAAGTCTTCAGGCATCAAAACGCTTAAAGAAATATCACAGTTTTATTGAAAACTCAAGAACTTGGTTTTAACAATATTTCTAAAAAGAAAAATTACATTGAATATTGGGGGAGACCTAAAGTCCCTATTACATTCTAAATAAATCATCATCAAAATCTATAATATTTTTCCCAACATCTTTGGACCATCAAGAACAAAAAGTTTTGTGGGAAACTATTTCGCCTTTGTGATTGTTGATGACTACTCTCGATTCACATGGACATTATTTCTAACTCATAAAAGTGAGGCATTTCATGTTTTCAAAACTTTTCTCAAAAAGGTTTAAAATGAAAAAGGCTTAACCACAGTAGCCATACGGAGCGATCATGGTGGAGAGTTCGAACGAGATCTCTTTACCGAGTTTTGTGACGAACTAGGCATCGAGCATAACTTCTCCGCTCCACGTACACCACAACAAAATGGCGTGGTGGAACGTAAAAATCGTTGCCTTGAGGAGATGGCTAGAACTATGCTTGATGAGGCAAAAATTCCTGAGTATTTTTGGGCGGATGCCGTGAGTACCGCGAGCTACGTGTTAAACCGAGCCGTCATTAGACCGATACTCATGAAAACCCCATACAAATTATACAAAGGAAGAAAGCCAAACCTCTCCCATCTTCGAGTCTTTGGTTGCAAATGTTTTGTTCACAATAACGGAAAAGATAATTTGGGTAAATTTGATGCAAAATCGGATGAGGGAATTTTTCTTGGTTATTCATTGCGTAGTAAGGCTTATAGAGTCTTCAACAAACGCAACTTAACCGTTGAGGAATCTCCTCATGTTTCTTTGCCGAAAATGATGCTCGCTGGGCGAGAAAGGTTTCTTGTGATGATCTTATAGATTCGTTGGAAAACATCTATCTCAACGACGATGACGAAGTAGACAACTAAAAGGAAAGCCAAGATGAAGAAGTAGAGCCACCCGTAAACGAGGAACAACCACAAGAGGAGGAAACGCCAATGCCAAGGGCATGGAGGACTTCAAAGAACCATCCTCTTGACAAGGTGATCGGTGACATCAACCGAAAGGTAAGTACTCGTAGCTCTCTTAGGGACACTGTAGGTCACATGGCTTTTGTCTCTCAAATTGAACCTACAACCATTTCGGAAGCAATTGATGATGAACATTGGACCTTGGCAATGCAAGAGGAGCTTAACCAATTCAAACGAAATGACGTTTGGGAATTGGTGCCAAGACCCGATGATCACACCATAATTGGTAAGAAATGGGTGTTCCGTAACAAACTCGATGAAAATGGAATAATCACTAGAAACAAAGCTAGGCCCATAGCTAAAGGCTACAATCAAGAAGAAGGCATTGATTTTGAAGAAACTATGCACCAGTAGCACGTTTAGAAGCTATTCGCTTATTACTCGCTTTTGCTTCATCTATGGATTTTAAGCTATACCAAATGGATGTTAAGAGTGCCTTCCTCAATGGTTTTATTCAAGAGGAAGTGTATGTTGATCAACCCCTGGGCTTTGAGGATTTTGAGAACCCGGAGTATGTCTATAAACTAAAGAAAGCACTCTACGGTCTTAAACAAGCACCTTGTGCTTGGTATGAGCGTTTGAGCAAATTTCTTTTGGACAACGGGTTCAAAAGGGGGAAGGTTGATACTACACTTTTTATCAAGAGTAAAAACGATAACATCCTCTTGGTGCAAGTTTACGTAGATGACATTATATTCGGTGCTACTAACGAATCTTTGTGCAAGGAATTTTCAAACTTAATGACGAATGATTTTGAGATGTCCATGATGGGGGAACTCAATTTCTTCTTAGGGTTACAAGTCAAACAAATGAGGGAAGGGACCTTAATTTGTCAATCAAAGTATTGCAAGGAGCTTCTAAATAGATTTGAAATGGATGGCTCCAAAGCAATGGCTACCCCAATGAGCACCTCCGAGCACCTGGACAAAGATGAAAAGGGTAAGGAAGTAGACGTAAATAAGTATCGAGGTATGATCGGATCCCTTCTTTATCTTACCGCTAGTAGACCCGATATCATGTTTAGCGTTTGTTTATGTGCACGGTATCAATCTTGTCCGAAAGAATCGCACTTAACGGCGGTGAAACGGATAATGAAATATCTTGTTGGTATAATGAACGTTGGACTATGGTACCCCAAAGGGTCTCCTTGTCATCTTCTTGGCTATTCCGACTCGGACTTTTCCGGTTGTAGGTTAGACCGTAAAAATACGAGTGGGACGTGTCACTTGCTTGGTAGTTCTTTAGTCTCATGGTTTAGCAAGAAGCAAGTCAGTGTTGCGTTATCCACAACCGAAGCGGAATATGTTGCCGCTGGTAGTTGTTGTGCTCAAATCCTTTGGATGAAGCAACAACTTGTGGATTATGGCCTTAGTATCGATCACGTCCCTCTTCGATGTGATAATACTAGCGCCATAAGCTTGACAAAGAATCCGGTTCTTCACTCAAGGACGAAACATATTGACATTAGGCATCATTTCATTAGAGATCATGTTCTCAAAGGTGATGTCGAAATTGAGTTCGTTGAAACACACAACCAATTAGCCGACATTTTCACAAAACCTTTAGAGAAAGAGTCGTTCTTCCGCATTCGTAGTGAACTCGGAATCCTTGACTCCACGATGATCTAAGTTGTGCATTAAATATCATTTTTGATCCTTACTAACTTGAACGTCGGAGACGTTTTCAATTTTTTTTGCAGGGCTCTTCTTTTAATTTTATTTTCAGGTGTCAAAGTCAGGGGGAACAAAGTAAATCGATTTTTTTGGACTAGGTATAAATCGATTTACAGGTTGTGATAATCGACTGTCACAGCCCGCAGAAGGTTGGAGCAAAACAGGCACAAACCTCAATAATCGATTATCATCATTAGGATAATCGATTATCGGAGCCTACAGAAGTTTGAGGCAACTCTGCTGGAAACTCCAACAATCGACTTACAAAAACGTGGAAATCGACTATTGAAGACCGCAGATCATTCAACGAAGAATCAGAGACCTCAAATAATCGATATACAGGGAGTGTAAATCGATTTACAATGGCAGAGTTTCAAAACTCTGACCGTTTTCTAGCCGTTGGAAGTGCATTAAACACAACTTTTGACTGGTCCAACGGGTCTCAAGCCTTCTCCATTATAAATTAGTGATCTCTATTCATTTTATACTCACTCAAATCATACTTTCTCCATATATTCATCATAATTCATCATTCTTGCTCCTATTCTTCATTTTCTTTCCAAATTTCTGCAATTTTCTCTTTGCCTTGCTCTGCCCCCTACTCTTTGTTGATATGGCAGGAGGTCAAAGAAAAAGATCCCGCACCGGCAAGAACGTGGCTTCTTCCTCGGCTCCTCCACCACCGGCGCACCAATACCTCGACGGATCTTTCTTATGGTTCAACGACCGCGCAGAGGCGACGCGGTTCTCGGAGAAGTTTGAGCACCGGGAAATTCTCCCTCCCCGATTCTCCACCGCCCGCTTCATTCATGACTCCATTCCACGAGAAGCACGGGTTATCCTCGAACGTGGAAACTTCCTCGACCTCCTCTACATCAAGAAGGCTCATTATCACCCTTTTCTTGTTCGAGCTTTCTACTCAAACTTGAAAAAGGATGAGGACGGAGCGTTGATCTCTAACGTCAACGGGGTGGACATTTATTTGAATGAGGAAAACATTCAAATCCTCACCGGGCTTCGTCAGAACGGACAGGATCTCGGGCTCTACGTCGGAGAAGAAGGAGCGCGGTTCAACGAGACCGCCCTCTTGGAGGAAGTGGGCATCCGACACTTCGTCCCCACTCCCCAATAGCGGCGCCCTACGATTGCTTCCATGAGTCTCGTGTTTCGATTCATTTTTTATGTTTTGACACGGATTCTCAAGCCTAGGAAGTTCAATCACACCACTCTCTCCCATGAGGACACGAAGACAATTCATGCGATGATTCACAATGCCAATCTCAATTGGTGTAAATTTGTGATGACTCACATGTTCACCGCCACCTCCGACAACCGGCCGCTCCCCTACGCCCTCCTCGTCATGTCGATTCTTGAAGAGTATAACATCAAAACCGATGTTGGGCCAAAGATAAAGGGGACAAAGCATTGGGAGATTGATGAATCCTCTTTCCACTCAGGCACCGACGAGACTCCGTTTCGACAGCCTCGTCCACGCCGCCAACCGAGAGCCACTGCCTCAACCGCCACCACAGCCTTGACCGCCACTCTCTCTCGGATTGACACCAACGTCTCCCAAACGGCCCAAAATGTAAATATTTTGACCCGAGAGCTTCACGGGTACTTTGACTTTGTCAATTACCCTTACGCTCAAATGGTCCACTACGCTCCTCCACCGAATGTCGGGGGTGCACCAAGTGGGACTAATAACGTTGGGGGAGATGAATAGGTGGACGATGAGGAAGACAAAGAAGAAGAGGAAGAAGAAGCCGAAGATGATGATGAAGATGAAGACGATGAAGAAGAAGACATTGACGAAGACCAACTTCTCAATGATCTTTCACCGGATTTCTAGAGCTCTAGCTCTACTTTCTTCTCTTCCTTATTTTATCATCTTTTAATATGCTTTCGTTATGTACTCCGCTATTTCCCTTAAGTAATTAATAAAAATCTTTATGATTTTTGTTGTTAACAATCTTTTTGTTAATGTCAAAAGGGGGAAGATAAGGGCTATGCATATATTAAGGGGGAATTTTTTTTATTAAGGGGGAATTTTTATTAAGGAGGAATTTTTTTTTCAAAAAGATCAAAACCCTATGCATATCCCCGTCTTGTTTGCCATTATCAAAAAGGGGGAAATTGTTGGAACACACTTTGTACGATAAACTAAAGTCGTGTTCATTTCTGACAGGTTTTGATAATTGCCAAACCGCCGTGGATATAAAGAGTTTCGTTGAATAACTCAAGGCGTGAAGAATGGCTTGCATAATCATTCCTAATTTCAATACTCTCATTTTACACACAAATCCTCTCATTTTACACACAATTCTTCAACATTTCAATACTCTTTCATTGCATAATCATTCCTAATTTTCTTAGCTATTTGAGAGCCAATTCTTGAAGAAATTGTCGTGTTCTTGAGCGTTTACTAGTTCACTCATATCTACTCTTTGTGAGAGTTTTATTCCTGAGTGTTTAAGTGTTTTCATACACTTTAAGGGAGGTTGTTCCCTTGTTGTAAACTCGAAGGAAGTTCCTTGTTCCTTCGTGAGAAGTCTTGGAGTGCAGTATCTCCGAGCAAAGGTGTTGAGGCTCGTGTGACTCAGGTTCTTAAGTTGTATCGGTTTGTTAAGCACCCTTAAGCTTAACGGAGTTAGTGTAGCTCGAGAGAGTCTCTCGGGGGGCTGGATTAGCC